TTGTGCAACACGGATGTCTTTTATACGGTTGAAAATTGTTAACAATCACCCCACCTCCTAGGTTTCGGATGATCTCATCACTCCATAAAGCAACGTTATGGCAGGTGGCGTCGTAACCGGCCCTGGTGTGTCCTCAATAAGGCCTTTTAGGGATCGTGTCCCGGATGCTCTTCTGCTTCCACAATTGACGATGCTACTGAAATAAATAGATATTGCCGGTGCGAGAACAGAGAACTTGATTATACCTTCCACCGACTCGGAACCAGACAAAGAGGACGAAGAGACGTTTCCAACGACGTTTGAACAAGTAGCGACCGTGAGAGATGCCCTTGATATTCATCTAAACAAAAAACCGTCACATGTCCAGGTGTATATCCGCTAATTGAAGCTAATTGAGTGCTCGACAGTGGGCGCTCTATTTTTGAAATTCCGACTTGATTATTATTATATCCTCTTCGCTCTACTTCAACGCTCGTATGAGTTCTATAAGCGCTGCTCCAATCTACCGGATTCAGGGGCGCCCAGAAGGCGACAGCACCTATTGAGAGCGGTGGCAACGTACATCACGATGTCAGCTTGACACGGATTACCGGACGCGTAACCTCGAGTCGTACGAGGAATTAAACGTACGGCCCAGAATACTGATCGCACTACTCAATTGAAGTTCAAATCCGTGCCGTATCATTTCCGAATGAGTAGTCGCAGTTTGCCGCCGGCCAATTTCTTGCTACTTTCGTCCACTCCACAGGCCGCCTAGGCTGAAAAGTAATGCCAGTGAAGACACACATGACCTAATACCGACGGAAATAAATGCAGGAACGAGTGCAAAAGCGAGATCAAAACCAAGAATGCGGAGGACGAAAACTTCGTTTTAATAACTCGGAGGGACTCAGTCAACCTCGACTGAACCAAATCAATAGCAAGAATCTGCTGTTTTGTCGTGGGGCCTTCGATCGAGGCTTGTAATTCCCTGACTTCACTTACCGCAAACAGTCTTGTCCTCCCATTATGAAGGACCTTGAAACGGGATGGCGTGGTTCTGAATCTGAGCTCATATAACAGATCTCTACATTACACAGGGAAGTTGAGCTATCCAGATCGATTCTGTCTTTCGTGAAGCAGTCCTATTGGAGCACTCGCCGCGGATGTGTCGCGGAATTAAATATCAGTGCTTTATGAGCCCTAGAAATGACCTGTCCCCGTAATTATTCCTGATTCTAAATCTTTGATAACTGCGAAGTTTGAACGTTGCATCATTGCAAAAAAAGAATCGCATGAGCGCTAAATGGGCGCTAATGCAACGCCAAACATTCGCACATAGTCGACACGTGATCGCACCTTCTTTCGCTCATGTCGCTCACATTGAATTCGTGCAAAACGCGCACTCTAAGAGGACTCTAGTTTCTCACCAAAGTCTGGGATTAGATCGCTGAACATCCCTTCCTCATCGTTTAGGTCCGATGGAGCTCTCACCGAGGGACGACGAGGCCACCCTAGCCCTTCGACACTGACAGCCAGGGACATGTGTTTGTCTGAGTGCGCATAGCTTGAGATTCGACCATTTTGGTGCACGATGGGTGCACATGTTTCTTTGGCTTGTCGCGAATGTCTCATCCCTTCGGCCCGTTCCACTTCCTCGACGCGTCTGGCAGTTCTCTTTCGCCTCCGATCAATTTGTCCTCTTCGCGTGCACGTTGTTTCCCCCCTGATGCTACGCACCAGGCTCACGTCCACACACGCTCGTCCATCAGCAATCATTCTCTCCTCGGCGGGCTTCTAGCAACTGTTTGGAAACGCATCAAACCAACTTTAGCCGCGAAGTCGCACCGACGCACGTGCGCGAAGACTGGTTCGCTTCCTCCATTTACCCGCTGCATCTCTCTCTCACCTTCATGTTCCGATTCGTCACCCTGAAGCTCGTCTCCCTCTGTGCAGGCCTGCTGCTGCCAGCGGCGTGTTCCGCTGCGCGGTTTGAAGGAACGGACATCAAGCAGCTCTGGGGCGCGTACTCCCCGTTCTTCACGGCGGGTACGTACGTGGAGCCGCCAGCGGGGTGCGTCGTGGACCAGGTATGCCTGCACATGACTCACGACCTCCCTCTAGCTCATTCGTTCTCAGGTCAATCTGGTGTGTATCATTCTTCCACCTGCAAGACAGGAACGTATCACTTGACCGCTCGGCCCGCAACAGCTCCAGCGCCACGGCGCGCGCTTCCCGACCTCTGGCGCCGCGACGACGATTATTTCGGGGATCGGCAAGCTGCAGAGTGCCAAATTACATCGACGCGCAACTCGACTTTCTCAAGAATTTCACATATTCGCTCGGCGTGGCGGACCTCGTGCCATTTGGTGCCCAACAGTGCGTTGCTTGATCTATGGCGATATCAAGGCTGAATTATTGTTGATTAGATCCTTCGAGGCCGGGGAACTCGCCTTCGAACGCTACACCGACTTGATCAGTGCCGCGAATCTGCCGTTCGTGCGCTCAGATAGCAGCGCGAGAGTTGTTGATAGTGCAAATAATTGGACGGCGGGTACGGATGCTTGAATCTTCCATTTCCTCTATTAATATTCCTCTAGGGTTCTCATCCGCAAGCCATCATGTCTACACTCCGCACTTATCCGTTGTCCTCTCCGAAAATGTATTATCCATCCACTCCTTTCACCCGCAATTCTCTTTTACATCCGCAGGGTAACGACACGCTTGATGACAATATGTGCCCCAACGCAGGCGACTCCGACGCGCAGACAGACGCATGGCTCGCAGTCTTCGCGCCACCGATCACCGCGCGCCTTAATCGCTGGGCGCCCCACGCCAACCTTACCGACCCCGAAACCTACGCACTGATTTCCATGTGCCCCTTCCACACCGTCGCCGCGTTCGTCCTGGGCGGTACACTCACCCTCAGCCCCTTCTGCGCACTGTTCTCCGCACCGGAGTTCGAGGCGTTCGAGTATTCTATGGACCTCGATAAGTACTACGGTACAGGGTACGTGCCGTCGCCCTTTCCTTAACTTTCCCGGCGCCCACATGTACTGACATCCCACGAGCTACGGCGCAAAACTCGGCCGCGTCCAAGGCGTAGGCTACACAAACGAGCTCCTCGCACGCCTCACGAACGCCCCCCTAAACGACTCCACGCAGACGAACAGCACGCTCGACGCCGATCCCGCCACATTCCCGCTCGGGCGCACGCTCTACGCGGACTTTTCGCACGATAACGAGATGGTTGCGGTGTATAGCGCACTGGGGCTGTTCCCACAACGGGTGGCGCTCGACCCTACACGTCTTCCTACGGACGGGATTAACGGGGAAGAGACGTGGGTGGCGAGCCGGCTTGTGCCGTTCAGCGCGCGCATGGTCGTGGAGCGCCTCGTGTGCGAGGGGGAGCGGTACGTGCGCGTGCTGGTGAACGATCAAGTGCAGCCTGCAGCCGTTGGAGTTTTGTGTACCCGGGAACGGGAAAGGGAAAGGGGAGGGGATCTGCAAGTTGGACGCGTTTGTGGAGAGTCAGGCCTATGCGTGGAGTGGTGGGGATGGGGACTGGCAGGAGTGCTTTGCGTGAAGAATCCCCATAATGGCTGTCGCCAAAATGTTATGTTCAGCGGACTAATGCAGAACGTCACGCAGATGTGATCCTGCATCATCCCGATACATACACTAGGCCTCACGTTTGTTAAAAGCAACGATTGGATTCCTTCTGTGACGATTGACCTCACCACTTTACCAAAATAAACCAAGGCAGAGTTCGTTCATCCAGCTTCATTGTCGGTCACGATCGTTTCAATACTTCCCCGACTCCACCTGGTGACCGTGACTTACTTACCGTTGGAACAGCATTAAATCGGCTCCCGGACATGAATATTTCAAGACTACTCTTTGATTGATAGATTGTATTTATATTTTAGTATAATTACACCTTGAACCGGACCCATTTTCAATTGGGGTCGGGTATATCAAAAACCAACATCGAGTCATTTCTAATACCCCAACACGATTCTTATCTCCGGGGGCCCCAAATTCGACCTGCGGGATAAACCCAGTCATTTGCTGAATATGAATGGTTCAGGTTGATCAAGTTAGGTAACTTTGCCTCCCCACGGGACCCCACCGTGAGGATCGTCGTATTGACCTACAGGCAATGGGCTCGTGCGTAAATGCACAACTTACAAAAGGAGATTATCGAAGTCCTCGTAATTGAATTCCAACCCCAAACCAAACGGATGAGGAAAAAGCCCAAGTTTGGCCTGCTTCCTGAACATGAAAGTTTAAGAATGTGATTGAAAGCGCAGGGTGTATCGCCGAGTAGACAAGCACGTCGCATTCGATGGCATGGAACTGCCCAGATCGTGATGCGGTAGAGGTGATACCCTCTGATGATGATCTAGTGATGTTCTGGCTTTGGCTTGGCCTGAAATCCATGGCTTTGGCTTTCTAAAATCCGAAGCCAGGCCAAAGCCAAAGCCATGGCTTTGACTGGCTTTGGCCTGGCTTTGGCCTGAGCCATGGCTTTTAGCGGGGAATTGGGACAATATTTGGCTTTGGCCTGACTAAATCTCAGGCCAGGCCATCCGCTAATTGTTGGCTTGGCTTTGGCCTAGGTACCAAAGCCAGAACATCACTAACTCTGATCAGGAGTTGACCAACATTGGACTACAGTATTGATGAGTCGCAAAAAGTCAGTCAAAGCCTTGATCATTCTCCCGAACTGGGTAGACCTCAAGGATAATGGTAGTGCCTGGGACAGTTGCACTCTTCCATAAAAATAACACAATGTTCACCTTGTGCTCGCCGTCAAACAAAGATTCAACAGCCGATTACTACCATCCAGCCTTCACAACCACCTAGTAACCAACACGGACTTGTATCCTCTAATCAGTATCGCTACTGTTTTCACGCTTCAGTGCTCCCTGTTGACTCTGTGTTTTGAACATTGTGCACACAAATAACACAACGTTTTCCTACCACCTATAATGTCATGTTAGTGGTGTTTCTTTTATGGGTGCTTAGCGCAATGGTAGCGTGTTTGGCTTCGATGCTTTCCTTACGTAATTCCCACCAAAAGGTTGCAGGTTCGAGTCCTGCAGTGCTCATTTTTTTTGCCGTGGGGTGGAGCCGAAGAAATCACCTGGTCGAATTTTTTACCAAGCTCTACGCTACTTGATTGGGTATTTCCCGATTTGGAATCTGGTTTTGATGAGGAACAAACATACCTCAACAAGCCCAGTAAGCCTTGAAAAGGAGGGGAATAATTGATAAATCAGCCAAAGTGCACAGCTTTTTGAAACTGACTGCTACTCCCCTGTGACATCTCACTTTGTCAATTCGGAAAGTAACCGTACACAAATCAATGAGTCCTAGCAAAAGTGTAGTCTCTCCTGAGAGATGCTTTATTGATACAAGCTCTTCCTCGCTCGATCAAAGCAAAAGTGGCCCCCAAGTCTGACAGATAAAAACTGGTATGCTCGGTCCGAGTTCTCTCCGCCCAGGTATAACTGCCCACCATCCACCAGACAGTGCTCATGTCTGTTTTCCAGCAAAGAAGTTAATTTTCAAGAACGTCCAGGCAACTTGCAGCTGGTTCTTTCCCAATTTGGAATGTGGTTGTCTTCAATGGGTGAGTGTTGTTCCACAAAATATCTGGACATGGCCAAGTAGGCCTTGAGAAGGAAGGGAGGAAGATGCCATTATTCGGTAAATCAATTGAAACAGAACAGTACACAAATCTGGGAAACCAAAAAAACACAAACAAGTAGCGAGCAGAGTTGAGGTTGAAGTTGCAAATGCAAGATGATACATCATTTGCTTTGTTGTGTATGGCAACAATTATCATATGCATAAGAGGCAGGCTTTGGTGTCTGCATCTCTGTGGTGGTCTGGCTGTGTTCAATTCCATATTGAACTGACAAACGGCAGGGGAAGGCTGAACCGTCGGTGCACCGACTAAACCCAAGTTGAAAGAGTACATTGTATTGTGTCTCCAGATACATTTTGTGACACTTCAGTATATCATAAAGTCAGCATTATGACAGTCAAACAGATCGTTGGGATTTTCAAAAGCAAATCTGACCTGAAAGTTTTCCTATTGCATCAAGTCTACAACATTTGTTCTAATCACTGCCAAGTGCTTAAAGTCACCATCATTCAGCATGGCAAGTAGCCCCCAAGGTCTAAAGTATCCACAAATTTCTGTCGCACATCCATCACGGACCTTGGATGCAGTTCTAACAGGTTTAGATGTGGGGGCACATGTGCTGTGCTGGCGTGCAGCTAAGCTCCTGATATATGAATAATTTGTTGTATAAACTTGCATCCACTCCGATGGTTAGGACTCACAATTTGAAATTAGATTTGAACCCGCCTTGCGGTAACCGTCTGCAAGATCGACGAGTCCTGCCCCAAGTAAGATTTTCACACTGACACCGACTGATGTCGGTTAAATTCAACTTCCACACTAACCGCTATCATTCTAGGTTGGAGGAGCTTTCAGTTGTGGTGGTTGAGAAGCGGAGGGATATTCTAGGTGATGCCTTGAGGAGCATGAGTCATCGAGGCCATTGCGATGCTCAAAACATATACTTTGGTTGGTAGAAGATGATTTGATGGAATGGAAACTTCCAACTGACGCCGTGGCCCGCAGCTGACTTTACCCGACCCCGGGCCTGGATGGCGATTCGCCATGCCTGCCCAAATACAATGCAGAACAGTTTGAAGGATGCGACAGATTCGCAACGCCTCCCCATAACTAGAAAGATGTGCCTGAAACATGTTCACTGGGAGAATTCCGTCTACCAAGATATATGCGCTCTATAGTTGTACTGACACAGGCGAAGAGTAAACACCGATGAGTTTCCATTCATCAATAGTCGCTCGGATGAAATCAATCTCGAACCGCGTGGATTCGCCGAATAATATCATCCGACAATCATCGCGGTAGATGTATGTTGGTCTCCTCTACCCTCCCGTGGTTGATGGAATCAATCCCCGAGTATGTGCTATATAAATGAGTGCTTAGCTGGACCACCCCGCTCTACGCCCGTTATCATGGCCGCCTACTCTCCTGCACTTGACGGAACCCTTGGGGCACCCGAAATTGGGACTTCCGTTGGGACATTTCTCTTCGGGATTTAACGCTGCAAACCTTCAATTATTACCGCCAATTTCCAGAAGATTCAAAAAATCATAGTGCATCCTTTGTTATACCAGTTCCGCCTTGTTGACCTTCAGACATCCCAGCGAACATATACTGCAACCATCGCAACCGCTCATCGCGACGATTTTGTTTTCTGGGTTAATAGATACCATGGTCCAGGTACCTATTGGTACCCATACCTTGATCTACAATGCTGATCATACGTGCAGATTTTCTTCGGGCACCGCATTCGAGTGCTGTCCGGGCGCCCTCACTTTTTCTTTCTTTCAATAGCATTGGCGATTACGCGGCTGACTTGCGACATAGTCGTCGCGTGCAGCTATTGGATAGACAATTTAAGCATTGAGGCTCTGGATTACAAAGAGCACTGGTTAGTTGCTGCAACCTTCACGCTCAGCCCTCTTTGCGACGTGTGTATCGCTCTGGCAATGTTTTATTGCCTGTGGAAAGTGCGGCACTCGGAATTCACTCGGTGCGTCCCTCGCGACAATATTTAGTGGTTGACGTTCTTAAGGCAGTTAAGCATGCGAAAAATCGTGGATACACTCATGATCTGGGCCTTTGGTGAGGAGCCCCTAAGTTGAATTACTACAAAAACTCATCCAGTTGTTCAGAAACAGCACTGGTCACCAGGTACATTCACGGTTTATTGAATATATCTCAAGCGCTTCAATTTCCATAATAGTCTAGGGGGCATCGCAGAGATCATTCTGGTGGGTTTTAACTCCTACTTTCAACCCGAGTACGCTTAACTCTTTGATAGTTCCTCACTCGCAAGGATTGTAAGTATGATTTGTCTCCCGTCCCGTGTTCAACCCGTCAACTTAGACAGTGAGTTTCATGGCCTTTTTCCTTATTCAGCCGAAATGTGAGCCACCCACCGATGGAGACATTCGATGACACTGACCGTGATTGCAGTGTTCTCGAACGCCATGCTGGCAATCTATGTTTTCCCCGTTATGTGTCGTCGAATGAGGCTGATTTTTTATCTTAGCCTCAATGGCCGAAGTCGATTCCGCTCGTCTGAAACCACTATCCCATCCCTCCCCCTGGATTTCGGATCGACGAAGAACTACGAAGAAGGAAATCATATCCCGACGGACACCGTCTCCCAAATTCGCAATGTCCGTAGTGACGTCGTGGATATTTCGCCTATCCCTGAAGCATATAATGATGAGAGAAATAGAATATCCTCCAAGGTGCTGCTCCATATCGTCGCTATAGCTTGGGATCTTATAACTCTTGGAAACAGGTCGTAATGTGCTCACCAACGTTAGGGTCCTGACGAGCGCTAATTGTCCTAGGCCTGAGCGTAAGGAATGTACGAACCGGATCACAAAATTCGCCTCGGTGTTACGTATACGACATGGGATTTGGGAAGTAGTGTCTCAAGATCAAAAGTTCTACTGGTTCAATAGAACATCAGCGAATTAGATGACCTCACTGCACACACTGTACTTCGAACTTCTGCGTACAGATATGACGGAGCTGTGACCGCATAGGAAGCCTGTCATTTTGCCTCTGGCTAGGAAAAAAACAAAAAACGCCGGGCGTCGCTCCCTTCTTAGTTGCAATGTCAACACCCTCATGTCTTCTTCGGGACCTGTTCCCAGGTTTTGGGCGGTTCAACGGTTAAAATTCCTGCGGGTCAGCAAATCCTGCGTTAGGGGATTCTCTCGACGCGGGCGACCGCGGCGCGAGTCTGGTTTGAGTCTCCGTTCGAGAGCTTTGTCTTTTTGCTCTTATTTGATGTCTAAGGCAAGAGGCGAGCGATCTCTGGATCGCGGAATTTGATCTGTCCACGTGAGCGCCACTGATGGACAGCGGCACAAGCCTCGGCCATGATCAGATCAATATGGCAATGCTGCCGGCCGACTTCAAGCCGATTCTACAACTTCTCGATAATTCTTAGAGCTCGCTCTCAAACGAAAAACTAGATGTAAAACCAATGGAAAACCCATGAATTATTTTTGAACTATGGAATAAAATCTGCATCTGCGTCTTCGTCACCTCCGCCATATGCACATAGCTATTAGCCCTCCATCTTGAGTGCTGCAGATTTGCGCTGGCACGCGCTGAATTGGTGGATGAAAGCCAGACGCGCTTGACGCGCCCGTAAGTCGTGGTTAGTTGCAAGTGTTTGGCAAATTGATGGCCGACTCGACGCCGTTGACTCAGACCTGCCTTATTTGGGGGGTAGGTACCCCGTGGGAAGATATCCGCGATAAGGAGATCGCACGCCTCTTGGTCTAAGGGTTACATTTTCCCTGGTTGTCATGCGGCAACTATTACGCTTAGCTCGGCTAGTCGTGAGAGCCGAGCCAAAAATAAGCCAACCGCAGCGCCGATCATAACCGTAACCGAGCTGCGGCAGCACTAGGCTTTGTGAGAGCGGTGACGTATCTTAGGAAGACAAGCAGCCCGGGAATCGGAATCCCAAGAAGCATTTTTCGAACCGCGTGTGCGTATCATCCAATAATTTCCAGCGTCATGCACTAAAACCAGAATACAATCCTGCCGACACTGCCGGTGGTACACGTGCCATGCTGTCTAGCACGTGAACTGACGTGTCTTTTTCTCTCTGAGTCTCAGTTCTGGTCCGTCTCTTCCTCCCCGTCGATCCGCCATATAAGGACGAACTCTAATGCAACCCGCAATCCCCGCGATGAGATCTAACAGCCTCGGCAAGGCGGGCCGGGGTGAGCCTGACAATATTAATAGCCTGTCCGGTGCGCTATCGGCGGAACAAACTTGTTACCTGGGCCGTCCACTGCCGCTGGCAACTCGCACAAGGCCTCCCGTGCAATACCACTATACTTAGATTGACTGGATTATCTTATCCTCAAAGGACGACTACTCACGGACTGACACCTGTAACGGACGTCTAATTAAACTCGCGCTCAAACCGCCGATCTCGTTAAAAAAGGTGAGTGCGTTCCA